CCATATGAATTTTGAACTGACTTTGCGAGCTTCAAGTCAAAAGTGCAGAAATGGATGTTTTCTTTCTCTAAATAGTAAAGAAACTGCCGAGAAAATTAGAATTTAGTTTTCTAAAACTAGTTGCCTATAAATTGGACAAGTAAATTACGTTTTTCTAAGAGAAAAAAATCTATTTATCTGAAGTAAGCTCTTGTGACATTTTACTGGGCTCAACGTCACTCACAGAGATAATTTATTCATTTGCAATGAACTTTGTACCGACTTTGTCAGCTTGAAGTCAAAAGTACCAAGAGGTGTGTTTTCTTTCTCAAGATAGTTCAAAAGGGGTTCAGAAAATTAGAATATAGTTTTCTAAAATAAGGTGCATCTGAATTGGAGAAGTATATTACGATTTTGTAAGAGAAAAAAATCTATTTATCTCTGAACTTTTGAAACATTTTGCTGGCTTCAATGTCACTCACAGAGATAATTTATTCATTTTACATAAACTTTGTAACGACTTTGTCAGCTTGAAGTCAAAAGTTTCAAAAGGTGTGTTTTCTTTCTCAAGATAGTTCGAAAATGGCACAGAAAATTACAATTTAGTTTCCTAAAACTAGTTGCCTATGAATTGGAGAAGTAAATGACGATTTACTAAGAGAAAAAAATCTATTTATCTGAAGTGAGCTCTTGTGACATTTTACTGGCTTCAACGTCACTCAACGAGATAATTTATTCATCGCCAATGAGTTTTGAACGAACTTCGTGAGCTTGAGGTCAAAAGTACCAAAACGTGTGTTTCTTTTTCTAGATAGTTCAAAAATGGCTCAGAAAATTAGAATATAGTCTTCTAAAATAAGGTGCCTCTGAATTGGAGAAGTATATTACGAATTTGTAAGAGAAAAAAATCCATTTATCTCTGAACTTTTGAAACATTTTGTCACTCACAGAGATAATGTCTTCATTCCCAATGAACTTTGAACTTCTTTGTGAGCTTGAAGTCAAAAGTACCAAAAGGTGTGTTTTCTTTCTCAAGATAGTTCAAAAGGGGCGCAGAAAATTAGAATTTACGTTTCTAAAACTAGTTGCCTATGAATTGAAGAAGTAAATTACGTTTTTCTAAGAGAAAAAATCTATTTATCTCTGAATTTTTGCAACATTTTACTGGCTTCAACGTCACTCACTTAGATAATTTATTCATCGCGAACGAGTTTTGAACGAACTTCGTGAGCTTGAGGTCAAAAGTACCAAAACGTGTGTTTTCTTTTTCTAGAATGTTCAAAAACGGCTCAGAAAATTAGAATATAGTTTTCTAAAATAAGGTGCCTATGAATTGGAGAAGTAAATTACGTTTTTCTAAGAGGAAAAAATCTATTTATCTCTGAACTTTTGAAACATTTTACTGGCTTCAACGTCACTCACAGAGATAATTTATTCATCGCCAATGAGTTTTGAACCAACTTGGTGAGCTTCAAGTCAAAGTACCAAAATGTGTGTTTTCTTTCTCAAAATAGTTCAAAAACGRATTAGAAAATTAGAAATTAGTTTTCCAAAACTAGTTGCATATGAATTGGAGAAGTAAATTA